GTCCGCTGTTGTGAATTGCTAAAATCAGGAACCTACACCTAGAAAGCTTTTTATTGGAAGACCTGCCATGCTCACCAACACTAGGAAGGAGAACACTCAGCATTTGTAATTAACAAGTGAAGAGCTCTCACCTCGCCTCATGCCATGAACAATAACTATCACCTAACAATCAACACTTGCCCCATGCTGCTAACTTATTCTGAATTTTTGAATATATGTTGCCACAATGTTCTCACAGAGTAGTTCTTCTAGCAGTTGGTCTTCTACGCATAGGTTTTTCAAGAATAAGGCTTCTGTGTGTAGTTGTTTTGAGTGGCAGACATTCATGTCAGGATTAATAACATTCTTAGCTTAGGTTTTTTAGGGCTACATCCAATGACCTTGTGAAGGGGCCTTCAAGGTTAGGGATTTTGTGCAGAAGGTCTTCTGGGTGATACCATATACCCCCCCCCCCTCCCTCCAGTTGCCTTGTAACCCACAGTTTTTATTGATCCCATATCTAGTGCACAGATACAAAAGGTTTGAGGCTTGCCGGGTTGTCTGTGCCTTCTGTTAGTATGTGAATCAGGACCCAGGTTTTCACAAATGCAAATATTGGTATTGAGTTGAACCAAGCTGAAATATGTTATCATTTTCAGGCCATGATGAAAATCAAAATGGGTCTGCAGGAGATTTTTGTTTTGGTCAGCTTTCTGGCCTCAATGGCATTAGTGATTGCAGAAGAGGACAGTGAGAAGCACATGGCAGTTGTGCCCACACAGAAGGAGGAGGTAAGCTGTGCAACATTGCTCTGGATTGTACCAGTATTGACCAGGTAATGCATGCTTCCAAAACAAATGTGTTACCATTATAAAGAGCACCACCTGTTGTTATGGGCTGTGCTGTTGCCACTCCTGCCTGCAGGACCAAGGGTTGTAAAAAACTTGCTTACAGCAAATATTTATATGCAAAGGCTATCAGCAAAGGCTTGCAATCAAACAGCTTCATACTATACTGGGTTTGTCCTGAAGAATGCTTGTTACACACAACACTAACTATATATATATATATATATAAAACTATATATATATATATATATATATATTATATATATATAAACTATATCTATATATATATATATAACTATATATATATAACTATATAACTATATATATATAACTATATATATACATATATATATATATATATGTATATATATATATATATATATATATATATACATATATAGTTCATGCTTAGAGTCCTTGATTGCAAAAAGTGTCATGCAAATGGTTTGTTATCAACAATTTGTTGAAATGAAGGGTTTGGCAGCAGGAGTTTATTTGACAAGGTATTCATGCAATATTCACATAGATATGATATGAATGTTGCATCTTTCCATGACAAATCAACCAGAGGATAACACAGCACCCCGTTCAAATTTGAGCAAGACACTGTTATATGGTAATATATGGCCAAAACCAGATGATGTAAGTTTTAGAGCTGTACAGTGTACTGGTAAGGAACTAGGAGCAGATGAACCCTGTTTTTATTTGCTCCAGGGGAAATGGTTTTTGCATTGGAAAGCTAAATACCTACATATTTCTGAAACGGGTTAATATAACATTCAAATTCAGTGATGTACCTAGCTTGACCTTTAACCCCAATTTCTGCAAAAATATGGTGTCTGATTACAAAGATCTTCACTTGAAGATCACTATTGCCATAAATACTACAATGAAAAATTGATGGGATCTCTAAGATCTGCCACAAATCGAATTCAAACATTGGTGGATCACGACTTGATCACGGCGGATCACCGGCGGATTAGATTGTAGTGAGTCAAGTGGCCTCGTGTGCTGGCGCAGCAAGCTAGGAACCGCGCGCGTGACATTTGCTACAGCGCGCACCTGTTCGGCGCAGGTTCCGAGAAAACCAAACTGACGCCGAAGAGAGGGTCAGTGAGCGTGCAGCCGTATGGACGGAGGTCAGGAAAGTGAAGCCCTGCAGTTTTGCTGCTTTCAGCAAGTGTCTCCAGGGAATGTTTACTAAAAAGCATCGGTTGAAATGAGTCGGAAAAATAATATTAAGGACGGGTTGCGTGGCGTAGCGATGTGACGCGAGTGCGGTGCAAGTCATTAGTTATTATCCCGAATGAGACTCGGTAACTTGTTAATGGTTGCAATTATTCAGGACAGCTGTGCCAAACTGAAATCATGTAAAGAACCGTTTGGCCTGAGGCTCAAAGCAACAAACGGCAGTTTGCGCAAAATCACCGATAGTTTTCTAAAGAAGAACTCCTCTCCGATGAGTGTGGTAGACATTGGGGACAAATCGCATGACAACAAGCCGCAATCGCAGTCCAAGGCCACCATGGGGAAAGATCTCCTAGAGCGAACAGCGGCATTGCAATGTACATCCATTTGTGGCATGCCTCAAAACGTCCAACGACCTCGTCAGCGAATTATCTGTACCATCAGTGAAAGTGAAATCCTTTCAGCAGCCGCAACATACGCTCGACAGGAAAAGATGCTAGCCATGCCGAAGTTTTCAAGAGCAAAAGAAGCTCATCGCGATACCTATTCTTGCCTGGCATATAAAACAATGCACCCTTCTTAGCATGTTACCATGCTGATGATTATGGGCCTCAAGTAGGTTTTGCACTTGCGACTTTTCATTTGGAGGTCTCATACATTGAGGTGGGGTACTGTTTAACGTCCGTCAGGATGTGAAAGTCTTCAATGCCCAGAACGTGATCATGTCCTGGCGTCACATGATGCGTTTTGCATTCGCGCCGACCACATTGCTGGTTAGTGCACACATGATTGATGAACTCAGCCGATGTTGTACTTAATGGAACACGGCACAATGAGGTACAGGTTTTTACGTTTCAATCGTGACTTATCTGTCAGGCATGTATGCACACGCTATCTTTCTACAAGTGATCCTGTAGTTTGTTTTGTAATTCAGGTAGGCTAATCCTTTTTAATTTCCATGGGTGGGCGTTCTCCTCCTCTATGTGACAGCTGATAAAATCCACAAAGACGGGCCAATGATCAGAACAACGGTTAGCAAACGCACAATCGCTGAAGGCAACGCACAGCTACAGTCGTCATCAATCCAGGCAAACACGTCTCAGCTGCAGTTACAGCAGTGAGCACAACTGCTCTAACATCCAAAGAGTACCGGAAGGGATGGCTGCACCACCATACATTGATTATAAGGTCGTAAATGTGCGAAACTTTCCGTTGCAGAACAAATAAGCAAGAATTTGAACTTGCCTGTTTTACTTTTTATTTTCGCTTGAACGGACCTGAACAAGTGATTAAGACATGGCGTGCTATGAACGATGACTTTGGTTCTGATATATACTCACACACCATGTCGTTGAAATGTAATTTGGCTCTATAGACCTGACTCGGGATGGATGACAGGCACGAGGGCTGACTGAAATCCAGTCTTCATTTATGGACCGTTCCATAGTTCCGGTTGGTTTCATGGTCACCGTCACATTGCCTGCCGGAGTGAGCCGATCTCACCCGGTCGCCGGGTGCCGGCCTGTCGGCTTATGGCGTGCCGCTGTCCGTGGTCCGCCAGTGTTCAAATGGGATTTGCGGCGGATCTAGAGAGAATCCCATCAGTTTCTTTTTCGTTGGAACGGAAATAAAGTGGTCTCGTTGGCATGTCGTTTTGAAGGAAATCAAAGGTAGCATATTTTGTTCAGGTAATTAGGTCAAATGTCAAATTAGGGTACTGTATGTACCTAATTAACCTTGAATGATATATTGACCCACGTTTTGGAGAATAAAAATCAGTATCTAGATTTCCAATGCACACAATACAAACATACGACCAATGCAAACATTATACGACGCGATCTGCTTTCGCTAAACCAAGTATAAAAATGAGATCGTGACTTCACCTCGCATTTTATGTGTTCCCAGTTCCGCATCGGTACGCTGTATGGCTCGAAAATTTGCAAAATTTTGTTTTGACCATGCAGTTACTTATGGACCTGTCTTCGTCAAACTGAGGGGTGCGTTATGCTGAAATGTACCTATCCGTGATCGATTCGTCGTGGAATGACATTTGTCATTTGACAAATGTTCACGAGTGGTGAAAGGTGTCCATGGACGGTTAAGAAGATGGGTACGTAGCTTAATCCCAATCAACACCCAATCTGTCCCAGTTTGTAGGTATCCTCGTTCAGTGATACACAGTCTACAAAGCAGCACAACCTGAAAGGCTCTGATTTCACATGCCTTTCTTGAGCATCATTAGAACCCAAAGTCATGAAGTTCTTCATGAAAGTGGCGCGTTACTGAACTGCTCAGTGTTATTACCCATGCCAGTAAATCTCTGTGGAAGCTGAATTTCGCATGCCGCCATTTACAAGCTCGCGAACTGCTTCCGTTACATACTTTTTCAACTATATCCCGCACATGACAAACCTTTCTCGATACGGGCCATTACATGCGAACTCGTGCCTTAAAAATATTTTCCGCACGAAATTATCATGTAAGGAACCATTCACCATATACTTACCAGCATATGCGTGCTGTACGTCATGTGCAGAGAGTAAAATTCCTTTTACATTCGGCCAATTCCCTTTACAAACTTTACCCGTGATGAGATGTTGGTCCATTTGGGTGCTTTTGCTGTCGCTATGCTTGTTTAGGAATCTTTTCCAGGACAAGTCGTATTTGTCACGCACCTTTCCATAATCGACGTCATGCCTACGAGCATTTTGTCTAGTTATCACTACTTTTTGCCCACAATATGCTCATTGCAGCCCATGTGATCATGTGGCGCTCCAACGAAAGACCGCCTGACAATCCGAAATTGACGCAGGCTAGTGCGCAGAAGTGCCACCATGCGAGTCTTGATTTTCTTACATATGGAACGGACCCGTAATGACTTTGTTGGCGAACCCCTCATCCGTAGAGCGTGAAAGTGGAGGCCACCACCGAGGAGAGCGGCCTGGACGTCAGCTTCACGCACGGCTTCATCGCCTCCCTCTCGGTGATCATCGTGTCAGAGATCGGCGACAAGACCTTCTTCATCGCGGCCATCCTGTCCATGCAGCACTCGCGCGCCACCGTGTTCGCCGGCGCCATCGCCGCGCTGTTCACCATGACCGTGCTCTCCGGTGAGGGCGGCTGCATACGGTGCCGCGGCGCTGCGGTGCCGCCCTAGTGTCAGCGCGCCGAAACTCGGCTGCTCGGCATCATTATGGGGTCCGGTTCTTCTTCACAGTAGCACAACGGATTGCGATGATGACCGCTATAGCGCGCAAGGAGGCAATCAAAATGAACGACTTCAACGCCGTTCCACTCACGGCTGGCCGCCCGGGCATGCTTCTTGCCAGCAATGCTCCCATCGGAAACGTTGATGTGATGATGTGACAATGATGACATCACTGTGGTGCAAACCCCTGTCATCGGTTTTGAAGTGTTCATGCATCATTATTGGTCGTTGGTTTTTGACGGCGCGCTTTCGATTTTTCGGCGACTACGTGAAAACTTGCTCAGGGATTTCCTCGCCATTGACAAGCGGATCCGTCGGGCAGTTCTGCTCGGGTTTTCGATTCAGATCATTCCGCGCGCCTACACATACTACATATCCAGCGCCTTGTTCGCCATCTTCGGCCTCAAGATGCTCTACGATGGCTATTACATGGGTCAGAACGAGGCCCAGGAAGAGTTCGAGGAGGTGCAGAGCGACCTCCGCAAACGGGAGGATGAGGTTCGTACCAACGCCACTCCCACGCACTGTTCTTTCTTGAGACTAGCCTATGGAAAAATTATTTCGTTTGAATGACCTTTGACCCGACTGCGACTAGAAGACCGGTCATGTTTGTGTGAAAACAGGGCGCTGATGATGTTTACTTATCCGGTCGTCTTCATGATTTGCACTGTCATTGGTCCGCAGCCCGCGCACTTCATTGTCTGATTTCAACACAGTCAGTTATGAAGCGGTAGTAAGCGACCAATTTCTCTTCGAACATTTCAGCGGGCGAGACTACCACTCGCACGAACGCAGGCGCACCAGGGCACCATCTCGCCATGACCGCCGCCGTCTCGCGCCGGCCCGCAGCGGACTAAGGACGCGCTGGACGTGGAGGGCGGTGTGGCGCGGCGCGGCAACGTGCTGGCCTTCATCTCCCGCATCCTGCTGGAGGCGTTCACGCTCACCTTCCTGGCCGAGTGGGGCGACCGCTCGCAGATAGCTACCATCCTCCTCGCGGCTAGAGAGGTAACTACCGGTGCCCCGTCTGCCCGCTAGGCAGCGGCAGACGGCGTGCGGTGTGGGCTAGAAGGGCGGGATGGGACGATTTGCCTCAGAAACGATGCATAAATGTATTTAATCCCCTTCACCAATGGCCAAGTGCGTCGCTTGATAAAAGTTCACCGTGGGACTTCGAGTTATCTTCCACGCACGGTCCCTCGCGTCGGTGGTCCTTCAGTGGGCCGAGCACCGCGCCGCCTGCCTGCGCTTCCCCGGTCGCCGTGGGCGCCCCACCGCAAATGCCGTCGCCTTTGCGTGTTAGCATTTGAATATGATGGTGCGTTGGAGCGGCAGTGGTGCTGCTTGCATCGCACACCGGCATGGGGCCCTGCGCCGTCACTGCCTCCGCTGTGCTGTATTATAGAACATTTGTGACTCGTACAGGCCGCTCCGTCGCGCCTTTCCAGACGATGCGTCAGTATGTGATGTGATGCGCCAGAGCGGCACGCTACAAGCAGGCCTGCCAGTGGCTGGCTGTTTGCGTTCCCTGTCTTGGCCGTGCCGGCTCGGCCTCCAGCCGTACGTGTCTGCCGTCGTTGAGCGTGCTCTCCCCCCTGTGCGGCAGGACGCCTGGGGCGTGACACTGGGCGGCTGCCTCGGCCACGCGCTCTGCACGGGCCTGGCCGTGCTCGGCGGTCGCCTCATCTCGCAGCGCATCTCTGCCAGGACCGGTGAGGGCTGGCTCAGACGAGGGGAGGGTGGGGCTGGCGAGGTGCTACACTGAGATGTTAGACTGGGGCGGAGCAGGGTTGGGAGGGGCTGTGGAAGTTGCCCCTCCCAGCTGTGAGGCTGTGAGAGACTGTGGGGCTGAGTGGTGCTGGAAACTGGAAAAGGGTTTTTCTCAGGCCGCACCGATGACCGTTTGTGGCCAGCTGGGGTGTTTGTTTCGACATGGTGGTGGAGTGGAGTAATACTCGCTGTTGTCTTCCTCTTCAAAGCTGTTCTTAAGTCTCGCAGGCTTTGCGTTCGAACTGTGGTGTTCGCGACAGCGTAGCGACCGCGTGTTGTTGCGCTCCCTGGAGCAGGTTGAACGCCCATACCTCCCGCTTGCCCCAACGCCACGTCGTGACTAGCCCCCTGCCGCCGCCCTCCTCAGCCCACGCCGCTCTGTTCCAGTAACCCTGGTGGGCGGCGTGGTGTTCATCATCTTCGCCGTCAGCGCCCTCTTCATCAACCCGGACAGCTAGGCGAGGGCGCGACCGACCGTGTCCGCCGGTCGCCCGCGCTGCCGGCTAGGAGCTAATTTATCGTGCGGTGGCGGGGCCGCTCCTGCGCCCGGCGCGGTGGGCGGCGCCGCCCGCGCGGGGGCCGGAGCGGGCCGAGTCCCCGACCGTCGGCAGCGGCCCGCCAGGTGACCGCGAGCTCAATGTGGCGGCGCCAGGCTGGGCGCGCGGACGCCAGGCGAGGACGCGGACCCGCGTGTCGCCCCGTTGGTCGCCGTTGGTTGTTATCGTCCCGCGCGTCAGGAGTGGCGCGGCGGACGAGATGGACGTCATTAGAGTCATGACTTCCAGCTAATGACGCGCCACTGGCGCTACGTGTTTTTATGGACGTCCATGGGCGTTATACGGTGTAAATGTTAGCCAGGTTTTAGCGAGGCTGGGCTCCACAATAGCCCGTTGTAAAGACGGGGCGTGCTCGTATGCACGATGGAAATGACCGTTATGGGTAATGAAATCCTGATAGAATCTGAATCCCTTGTCGGCGCCACACATTCATCAGGGCATCGGAAGAGTTTCATTACGGCATAACGGCTGATGTCATGCATTCGATGACACTCCCGGGCATGGCGGTAGGAGGGCCCGCCCTTTACTGATATTCACCCGACGGAAGGCGGCGTAGTTGGCGAAATCAGTATTTATACCGAGCAGTTATGCTGTCATTTTCCGGAGCGTTGGCTTCCATCAGGGCACCTAGGCGGAGGCCCAGGCTGCGGGCTGTGGCATAGCGAATTAAGCCGACGAAGCCCAGTGTGCGAGACCGCTGGCGTGAACAAGTTGGCGCCGTTGTGTAATGTTAGTGGACGAAAGCTGTTGTGCGCCTCGCGTCTGGGCTCGCGCACCGTGCGGCATCGAGTTGCGCCACCCGCTCTACGGTATGCAGATATGGAAGCATTCCCACAGGCGCGCGCGCTTATGTTTTTCGCCTGTTTCCCGGTGGTGGAAAAAAGACGAGCGTTGTATATAATGTAACACTTTGCTCGCCGGCGTCTTTTCATCATGAGTAGAGCAGGTCCATGGCCTAGTTGAATGCGCGACTTGGAAATTATCTTCTGGCGGGCATTCCGTTTTCTTCCCAACCATTGATGCGGGTTAGATACCAATGGCAGGTTTCGCTCCCAATTACATGTTCCCGTGCCAAATTTTGGGCGCCGTCTCCGGTTACACGCTTTTCCGTGGAATGTCATTCGAAAGCGGCCTTTTTTGTAAGGCACGTGCGGTGCGTGCCTGGTGTCTCGCTCTGTTCGCTCTGGTTCCTAACCATGCCCACATGGCGCTCTTTGTGTTCATATTTTAACTCCATACTGACATGAATCTTGTCCGAAACTTCACTTGTGTACATTGACCCACCCTCACGCGGCCGAAGTGCGGATACCGACGACTGCCGCCAGAGGCGCTGCGTCGACTATCCGCGTTGGCACGCGTCCGTTCTGACCGCTTCCTGCTATTCCCTAGGCGATAGTTGAACGGCGCGACCTTTGACGGTGCTCTCGGGCGGCTGTTGTTGTGTGGCGGTACCGGCGCGGGGGTGGGCGGAGCTGCCGGCCTATAACACGTGAGGCGGAGACTCCAGGCGCGTGACGCTGTGCTGTGATGCAGCATGTGAGGTGGAATACACGCCACGACTCAGGCCCTGCTCGCTGGACCGGACGGCCGGGCGCACCAGGCGCCACGAGCGCAGACACCGCGGCGTCAGTCTTCCATTTATTGATGACGAAGTACGAGCCCGGCGCGCGGTGACACGCCGTCCGGTGAAGAAGGGGGCGGGGGACGGCGGTCGTGGAGGCGACATCACAGCAGCCGGGCCGGGGAGACGCGCCCGGCGGCGGCGGCGGCGGCGGCGGCCCGCCGGGCCATCCGGAGCGGCCGGCGCCGCCTGGCCGGAGGCAGCCCGGCGCGAGCAGCCGCCGCCAGGCTCGCGGGCTCGCGGGCGGCGGCCATCGCACGTCCTGGGAGGCGGTCGCCGCTCCCGCTGAGAACGGGCCTGGACGGTCAGCTGGGGCGGTGTCCTGGGGCCGACGGACGCACGTGCCCCGCCCGAGGGGCCTCAACGGCCAAATGTACACTTGACTGCAGGGGAACGATGGGCGTCCGCAGCTGCTTTAACTGGACCGCTCCGGTGCAGTGAACACCAGCAATGGCTGCAGGCCAGTTCCAGACTCTTAGCCGCACATCGCTGGCTACGGTGCACCCTTACCTAGCGCATCTTGTAGCTCCTGCTATCTTTGACAGTACACAGCTCTCCGTGGAAGTCGAAGCTTATGTGGAAGTCTAGGTCGCGCTGGAACAATACACGAGCGTCATCAGAATGCAGCCAAACGCGGCAGACACGACGCCTGATATTGTCAATGAAGGGGACATCATATTGGCCCAGACAGGACATTACTCAAGAAGTGTCATAAACTTGCAGAACTATACATCACAGCAAGCTGGGTGGCCCCAGACGTAACATTTTAATGCCATTTCGAACCACCCACTCACATCGAACCATTACCATTGACGAACCGATTACAGCTCTGCCCTTGCCACGACACACGAAGCCCGAGATTATTCATCAACGCGTGCGCCAGCCATTACAAGTCGCGACCTTCCGGGTCAGCTGACAAATTGGGGTCGGTGAAGTGCGGTAACCGCCCGCCCCGTCGCCCATCCCACGACAAAGGCCGCGCCACGCCGCCGGCGACGCGTGTCGGCCGGCGGACACGGGGCCGCACTGCCCGGTCAATCGTACTCCAGCGCCCAGAGACCTTTCCATTCGGCGCCACTGATTGCCCGCAAAGGTCAGCAGCGACACCGCGGAAGCGGCCGCCCGAAGAGCGCTATGAGCACACACTGAGGCACTGCCGCGTCGGCCAGAGTGCTGCTGAGCACGGGCAGAGTCCGCTGAGAACACACAGCGCTGCTCACCGGTACCAATACTAAACCACGCCGGTACATGGCGCTCCAAGACTGCCGACAATCGCCAATGACTGGTGACAATCGCGAACCCAAGTGGTCCAGTGGGCGCAAAAGATTGAAGCAGTCGGCGCGCACAAGAACCGTGATCAATGATCATCATTTCCACCGCCCAGCAGCGCTGGGCTCAGTCTGGCTACGGGCAGCGATTGACGTCCCTTCCTCCAAGGACGTGACGTCCCTTCTTCCAGGGACGTCACTTAAGCAAGTTCATGGCGCTATAGCAATCTTAAGCACTTGCGTACCGATTTGATGCACGAAGGCCAGATAAACATTGGTTCCTGACGTGTGTAGGCGTGTCCGGTGGTTCCCGCAGCATATTGTAAGCTCACGCTGCCAGAGCAGCAGTGATCCCAGCCTTCGGGAACACTGCGTACGGTCCTGCTTCCCGTTCCATCATCGCTTCCTTGAAATATGGCAAAGAGCAAGGCCATCCCAGCGGCCACATCCGCCTAAAAAAATGACAAAATCGGCACAGCATCCGCACCACTATCGCAACCCTCCTCCACCTCACTCCCCCGCAGCCTTCCCCGCTTTCGATGACGGGAGTCCGTTCCGATCTCAAATAATCTGCCTATAAACCCAGACCACGTCACCCACACTTGGGCAGCTGGGGCACCATCCTACACTGCCGACGTACCGTTTGGTGAAGGCTGCATTACAGCGTCATGTGCGCTGCATGCCCTCCTAAAGCACGCGCGAACCTAGTAAGCCCAACGCCGGTGCGCTACGCAGCGCCCTACCCCTCCCCCCCCGTGAACGAGTCCCATGCGGGCTATCCCCATCATACAGATGAATGCCGCCAGCTCCTTTGCTGTCAACGTCAGCTCTTACTCAGTGGCTTCCACCTGCCTCCCATTGAGCGTCAGGCCCTGATCGCAGTGAACTCCCGTCCCTTCCTCTACCACTGGCAGCAGCCCTTTCAATAAACATCAGACTACCCCTCTCCCAGTGTAAACTAGTCCTCCTCGGTGAACACCGACCCAGTCTCTGACAGCAAGCGCCTTCATTCATTCTCCCACTAGTCCTTCCCCAGCGAACGCCGGCCCGGTCTGCTAGAGAGCGCCTATTATCGACTCTTCCACTAATCCCCTCCCCCCATCTCCAGTGAACGCCGGCCCGGTCTCCGCTAGAGCGCCTGCTGTCCACTCTCCCATTAATCCCCCCTCCCCTGAGCGCCGGCGCGCAGCGAGCACCTGTCGTCCACTCCTGCACTAATCCTCCCTCGTCCTCCCAGTGAACGCCAGTCCCTGCCCGACCCGTCCCGGCGAATGCAGCGGCGCCGACGGCCGCCGCCGCTCCGACCACACCACATCGACACTCACATTATTCCTAGCGTTGGGCTTCATGGCGAATACGCCGTCGATGGTCTCGCCCACTTTGCACGTTATGTAATCGGTGGTGTAGAACACGGTCTGCTTCCAGTGCGTGTAGCGCGCCTCCGGCGCTGTGGGTCGCAGACAGGTCAGGGGGCGGGCGGGCGGGCGGCGCCGGCCGCGCGCGCGCACGCGGTACTCACGTTGTTGCGCGGGTTGGGCGAGCACGAGAACACGCCCTCGATCTGCTCGCCTACCTTGGCCGTGATACTATCGTGAAAGTAAAACACAGTCTGCTTCCAATGCGTGTACGCGGCGGCCGGCGCTGAAATGCCAGAGGGCCCCGGTCAGAGGGCCGGAGAGAGGGCGCCGCGCCGGGGGGCCGCTGCCGCCGGCCGGCTCCAGGCACCAGACACCAGACTGCGCGCGTGTCCGCCGTCACCGCAGGTCACCGGGCGTCATGCTCTAGTCTACGTCACCCTATACGGGCTCGAGCAGTACGGCCGTGTCGCGTGGACCCCGGTATGCGAGTGTCCGTCTCAGTGTGAGGACAGCGAAGTGGCAAGAGTGACGCCAAGAGGGACACTCGGCACGGCTCGTTAGCTGCATCACAATGGTCACCGTAATACGGCCATATGTCCACGTGCACATGGAAATCCAGCAGCGATGAGGACACTGAGGGTCAAGTGGTGAGAAACGGAAAGCCAAATCAAGCGCAACACACGCTGGCAAGAGAGCACAAACGATCTCCGGCAGGTAGCATGACTTCATGAGCGCTTCAAGGGCAGCCGTACCTGTGCTGAATCCCACCCGCTTGTGACACTTGGTGAACTCGACGTTGAAGAACGTGACGAACGCCTGCACGTAGTCGTTCCGCCGGACCTGCAGGCTGAAGGGGGCGGAGAAGGCCAGCTCCTCCTTCTTGATGGTGCACAGGTCGACCTCCTTCAGGAGGCAGGAGTTGGTCACCACCTGTCGGCACGCGGCACCTCAGGTCAGCCCGGGACGACGCCTCGCCGCAGCCCATTCGGGCCGTATAGCTCCATCCAGGGCCTGTACGTATTTTATACTTGAGAAGGCCGGCGAGCTGGACAAGGCCTGACCTCGCCGATCCATACTGCCCGGGGACCAGACGGTGGCTAATTTTTTCCGCATCACGGCAATCCGGACCAAATATTGTAATTTCGCTCGGCATAACCGCTAATTAGTTTGAAAGCCAAAGTGGCACCTAAATCTCAAATATGCCACCCAATGGTCGCAACGCTGCTTAACTGCGGCGATCGCGTACGATGAGCTCCAGTGAAATGACCCGCTCTGGAAATTCATTTGTCCTAGCCTGGCTTGTCCCGGCGACGAATACTTGAGAGACCAGCGAGCGCCGGTCGCAGTATGAGGCCGCACGATGTTGGGAGCGAACTAAGAAAATTACGCACTCTGCGGGAGAACCATAAAGGAGGTGCTCGGATGGCCAGCGCCTGTTCCCCTCCTCCATTAAGGGGAGCGTTTTTGCCTCCTTGATCCACTATGAAGATGTTCGGAGTGTTTCGGCTGGCGCAAACACCAACCACTCTCCAGAGAACAGCGAGTCAACGTGTACACGGCCGAAAGGCGGCACCGCCGCGTTCCGGCACTCCCCGACAACACGTCCTCCAGCACAACACGCCCTCCCCAGGCGGACGTCCCGCAGACAAACATGTACCATAAATATTCAACCATCGCTCATGCATGCGGCACGACAGCAGCAGACTTTGGTCTCCGGGGAGTGAATCCGTCACGCGGCGGGCACCGCGTGCGCGCGAGCGAGGGAATACCTACGGTGGTGCGGCTGCAGCGACGGCTCGTCCAATACGCGTACACCACAAAGGCGTGGGCACGCACCGCCTACCACGCGCCCAGCGATCGTGTGCCGTGCAGTATAGCTGTGGGGCCCTCCCCACGACCCGGCGCCAACTGGCTGTGGGGACGGGACACCTAACGCGCATCCGGTCGAACAAGAGCGGAAAGGGCGACCTCCCACGCGGCCCGCTCAAACCGCCAGGCGGCGAGGACGGCCCAGCGCCGTGCCGCCCGGAGTGGAGCTCGACACTGCGCCGCAGTCCAGCCCGACCGGCCGCCATGCGGGACCGGCGCCAGTCCAGCCCGGCCGGCCGCCGTGCGGGGCCGGCGCCAGTCCAGCCCGGCCGGCCGCCGTGCGGGGCCGGCGCGAACCCAGCCCGACCGACTGCCGTGCGGGGCCGGCGCCAGTCCAGCCCGGCCGGCCGCCGTGCGGGGCCAGCGCCAGTCCAGCCCGGCCGGCCGCCGTGCGGGGCCGGCGCGAACCCAGCCCGACCGACTGCCGTGCGGGGCCGGCGCCAGTCCAGCCCGGCCGGCCGCCGTGCGGGGCTGGCCGCCAGTCCAGCCCGACCGGCCGCCGTGCCGGGACCGGCGTCAGTCCAGCCCGGCCGGCCGCCGTGCGGGGCCGGCGCCAGTCCAGCCCGGCCGGCGCCAGTCCAGCCCGGCCGGCCACCGTGCGGGGCCGGCGCCAGTCCAGCCCGGCCGGCGCCAGTCCAGCCCGGCCGGCCGCCATGCGGGACCGGCGCCAGTCCAGCCCGGTCGGCCGCCGTGCGGGACCGGCGCGAACCCAGCCGGCCGCTCACCTGTTTTGTGGTCCACCACGTCCACCAGCGGCTCGGAGACGGCCACCTCGCGGATGCAGCTCATGTCGAAGCCGTACACGTCGTCCCACCAGTTGATCTTATCGTCTTTGTATTGCGGTCCTGCAGGGGGACGGGGGAGGCCGGTAAGCGCGCACCAGCGCCGACGGGGTGGACACACACACAGGGATACTCTGACACAAGTAACCGGGCCGCGCATGAGCAGCAGTAGATGGTGACCGCTCACTTCGACAAGGGCGCTGGTCGCGCTTCTGTGGCAAGCACAGCGACCACAGTACGTTTGTATTTGGGCTCTCGGGAACATCGGCTTGGTGGCGACGCAGCACTGCGGTTGGCGACAGTACTGCAAGAAGTTGCCAAGTTCACACGGAAGACGACTTAGTGCCGTTAAGCACATGTTAGCGCCAGCGAACCTGAAAATAAGCCGAATTCGCAGCCTTTTGGTGAGCACGTCTGGCCGGTCCTTTTGGGCCTTCGGTGGGCACATCTGGCAGGCAGTTGGTTCATCGAGCGCGCGTCACCAGCACCGAGCCGACAGGCTTACACATAGACACAATGAAGAACTACTTTACATTTCGTTATTTCACGATGGTACCCAAGACTGTCGGATTGCTGAGATGCAGCTTCATCTACGTGGTATTTTTGGCGGACCATGCCCGCCGTGTTCAATTTGTGGAACGCGATGCCTTGGTTCTATTCTACGCGCACGTCTTTCCGACGTTCGAGCTGCAGCGAGACGCCGATTGACAGGATGGGAAATCTGCTATCGTTGCCTGGCTGTAGAACACATTTTTTCGCATTGAGCTGGGGGATAATTAGTGATTGGAGGGGGCGGGGGACAGCACTGGTTCTTTACACTCCTTGTGCTGTCTGCCAGATAAGACAAATATGTCTAGATGAGCAGTAGAATAACCTCTTTAGAATTGAGCAGCGGCTTCATTTCAGCACGGGACCGGAGGTTTGGTTAACAGCTGACCAGGTTGAGAAAGGCATGAGGAGCTCACACCTCCATTCTTTCAGGCCGCAAGTTTGAACGGATCCTACATTTCCGCAAGTGGGTACCAAAGTGTTGGTTTTCTTGTCGCATGCCTTATCTGAACAACCGAGGGGTTTGAATTTGTTCCAGGTAGCAGCGGCGGACACATTACACTGATCACACTGGCACACGTCACTCTGCTGAGACGTGACCGCGCATCCAATGACATCCACTCACGCTGCAGCAGCGCGCAGAGGACGTGGAAAAAGCTCTTGAAAAAGCCTGACCATTACGAACTGTGATCGCATTACGATACAGGATAATGCAACTTGCCCACCACTACATTGCACAGTCCATTAATTATAACTATCCTCCCTGGCAATGGCGCATTTTGGCCAGTCCCTTGAGGCACCCAGACGGCGCCAAATCCAATAAAGCCGCTGCCTGGCCGACCCCCGCTCCGCCGAAGGCCCCAGACGCCCAGAACATTGCCGCCATAATCATGAAAAACTGAAAACGTTACGACCAGAGCGTAACGTAAAAACCACTGTCTCGCACACAATGACCTTCGGATACTGACGCATCCCGCCAGCCCACAGCGGTCACGGCAGACGGCAGACCTCACCGAAGGCTCCGAATTTCACCGCCTCCACGGTGACACATCGGCAAACAAACCAGAGTCTAGCTCACAGCCCGCGACGCGCGCGCGTGGCCGGCGGCGGCGCACGCCGTCAGCCGGAGCTTCACCTCTATGGCGGTAATGAAGAGGGTGGCGCGGTCGGGGAACATCATGCCGCCCGGCGCCAGCCACTTGTCGCGCGCGTACAGCACCGTGTCCAGCATCGACTCGTAGAAGAGGCAGTAACCCATCCACTCGGAGATGATGATGTCCACCTTGTCGACGGGCAGCGTGATCTCCTCCATCTTGCCCTTCAGGATCTCCACCACTGCCGGCGAGAACGACAACATTATAACCGTGGGGCATGTACATGCAAGGCCCAACATGTCGAGGTGACAATCCTTGGCTGAGCTATTGGACGATTCACGGAATCACACGCAGAGGCAACGGACGGTATGCAGAACCGCACACACTGTAATGTTGATAACAAACAGCCCTCATGTCTTGCGTTCGAGAGAAATTCTATGACAGAGACATCACTGGCATTCTTCTCTCACGCACATCATGTCACTGCAGTTCACGTCTCCAACAGCGCAATGAGCAGCTGGGCGTCAGGGGGCGTCAGGGTGGTTGCGCTGCTGGGCCGACAGATCGCGGCGACGGGGCCATGTCCCCCCCTCCCCCTCCCCAAACAGCAGACCCCAACCCAGCCCCGCTCTGCATCACGCCGCCACCACGCACCGTGGTCGAGCTTGTTGGCCTTGACGATGGTCTTGGCGTGGTCGACGATGTTGGAGCAGTCGACGCCGATCACCTTCTTGGCGCCGGCCTTGGCGGCGAACATGGACAGGATGCCCGTGCCGCAGCCCACATCCAGCACCACCTTGTCTTTGAACAGGTGCCGGTTGTGGTACATCGAGTTGCGGTAGGTGAGTGTCCGCACCTCGTCCTTCAGCATCTCCTGCAGAGGGAACGGAAACAGTAGTAAACAACCACTAGCGGAAGACGGATGTGTGTTTTCACGAACATCAACACCGAACATCAACACGGTGTGGTTAAGCCCTTTGAGCAGCACCAGCACTAAGAGGTCCCACCTGTCGGATATGCCCCGTAATTCCACAAACTGAGATGGAACGAAAAGAGTGAGCCTTATGTGTTCATTCATCCTTTCATTTAAACAAAACCACGTAGTGCCGTCCGGTCGGCACCACGTAATCGCTCTCCATCTATCTGGGGCCCATGATCGGTCGGGCGGCCCGGCACATCGGCGGCGCACGAGCCCATCCGTCGCGGCTACAAAGGGCCAATACTCGCCGCGACGTCGCCCGGGCCCGGGCCGCGCACGCCAGGCGGGTCAGGCGAGGGGCGCCGGACGGCGGCGTCAGACAGCGCGCCACTCGCGTGCTCTCAGGCGGTCTCCGGCCGACGAGCGGCGTTCCCCCCCCCCCCCTCCCCAGCCGCGTCGGTCCGCGCACGTCCCGCCCACCCCCAGGTGGTCTCCGCCGGAGCGGCGTCCTCCGCCAGCCGCGTCAGGTCGGGCGACTAAGGGTGGTGGCCAGCCCGCCCTGAACCAGCAATGGGCCAAATCTCCGGCGCAAGAGCGCGTTATCATCTTGATACACTTGCGTTGTGAGAATTTTTCCATAGCAGGTAACAGAGGGGCAATGCAATATATCACACAAAGATATTCTAATCATACTCCCGGCAAGAAGTATAACTTATCTAATCACATGTATTAATTGCAGGTGCATGCGCTAAATGGTCACCACCATATGCTACTAATATTAACGCTCCACTTGATTTTCTCTTTTTCATATCGCGAACTGTTAGGGGGTCGATGGGCCTCTCCTATGATTTCCTAATTAAGTCAAATAAAGCCTGGCGTTGATAAAAATAACGGATCCATCTCAACGAGACCTCGCGATAGATAAAAAGGTTTCATGTTGCTAGACCAATAATTGACCCAGCTATGCCAGGTTAGTCCGGGCTTCCTGAAAACCGCAATATTTCAGCTCTAAACGCCAATACTTGCAAAACCATGCCAAGCAGCCACATCAAGCTTCCAGAGACGCGTTCATTGCTCAATCCTGAGCATAATGGTATATTTTGTTGCCGCTATATTGCCGTTGTACGCCACGTTAAGGTGACAGTGCCGGACCACCGTGTGCGATCAGCAGACTCGTCGGTTGTCGCCCATCGCTGCGCCGGCCGTGGATCATTGTGCAGTGTTTCTTAAAAACAGTCGCCACTCGGAAACCAAAAGTGCTCTAGACACGTTTTTGGTGCCAAAACAAGCGTGCCGAATATCCCATTGCTGAAATTTGTTCCATTATATCTTATATGTATCATAAATGTAGTAAATATCCCATACATGTGAATGTCCCCCAAAAAGTCTCATTGCACTGATAATCAAAATTTGGGCGCGATAACACAGTACGCCGTTATGAGAGATGTCCGCACAAGACGTAAGAAGGGCAGCACCGACCCCCCCCCCCAATCACAATCAGGGCGAGGATTGGAATGCCACCACTCCCCGATCGATACCTCATGGATGCCGAAATGGGCGTAAGAGTCGAAATAGTAGTCTTTGGAGGTCATCTCTTCACAGCCGACTTTCTCTTGCTCCTTCTTGGCCTTCAGCGCCTCAGCGTCACCAGCGCCATCCGAGTTGACCACCTGCCGCAAAAACATCGCCAATGGTAACAGCGCAGCCAGGCACCGATGCACAACCCCGGAGCATTTCACGACTGCACACCTTGTACCACACCACCACCAGATATGGTCATGGTTTCCACTAACTTGATCGCGACCTTATGGTGCAACCCCAACAACCTGGGTGTTAATGCTGGGAGGGTCAAGTCACATGGCTTCCATAACCAGCTCTCTTTCTAGTCTTGTTCTCACTGTCCTGCTTTCCTTCATGCATATGCTGTGTATGTCTCCATTTGCATGCCATTTAAGGAGGGATCAATGTTGTAATTGAAACAAAAATAAGTGGAATATCATAAGACAGTGGCAAGCTTACCTGAATCTGCTAGCTGACAGGCATTTTTTTCGACAATGAGAGACAAACAGGGAACAGTAGACCAGGGGATGTCAGCACATATTGTCAACAAAAGCTGTATTGATTGTACCATGTCAGATGAACATTTGAATATGGACAGCTAAATCTGTCCACCAACCTTTGAGCAGCAGCTTCCCTGATGATGATTTAGATATGATTTATATATGATGTTATGTACAAGTGCCTTATGAGCTTACTTTGATCACTGGCCTGATATTTCTCATGCCTTTATAACTTCCTATGGAGCTGGCTGATTCACAACAGGAATGTCATGTGAAATACAAAAAAAAAATCTAGCCATGCTTTCACAATGGGATGAAGTGGCAGAGCAATCCTTAAAATCTGGTGCCTCCGTTGCAACATTTTCCTAGTGCATAGGAAAGCAAGGAAGTGCCTAAAATGGTGAGCAGGTAACCACAATAAGAATGAGCAAATTGTGAGTATAACAGCTATTCACCAATCACTATGGTCTATCACACCCTAGTGTTTCATAGTCAGCTCACAGTTGTTGGTGCAAAGTGGTCACCTAGTCCAAGGACGACTGAGCTCTATGAGCCATTGGATGTGAGTGAGCTGCCCTTATTGTTTGTGACAAGCAGAAATGCAATATGACTGAGACATTCCTTGCATGCTTACATTATATTACATACAACTGTCATGCCATGCATAAGGGTTACACACATTCCTGATGCAAACAATTATCAACCATGTCCTTACAAATGAACAAAATGACAACACAAACATGAACCCCACCAATGTGTAATGTCATTAATAAAATCACTCCATATCTGATGTTGATTTGTATATGATGTCACATTATAATATATCAACCATATTCATATTCAGCAACAGTAATGTAGCTGCTAAGGTTCTAAACAAGTGAGCATGCATCCAACATGCAACACAAGCCCTAGCCTGTCTGCCAAGTCAATGGGGTGCTTCTATTTGATCTGATTTGGGGTCAAATTTGGAATGCAATGCAGGCACTCATGTTTTTTGGTGGTGAACAGAACAGCAATTGTTGCTGAGTGGAATATTATGGGAGTTGGTAAGTGGAGTGAGAATGAGCATCACACATAATGAAATGAATGCATGAGTGATACACAATTAAGGATGAATTCACAGAGCACCACAAATGTTCTGTTCTGTGACATCACAAAGAATATTTGCTGGATGTGTTCACATTATGGCATGTGTTCTGTTCATGCAACAGGGAGTCAGCATCTCCCTAACTTTCATGATAGAAACAGCATGTAAGATACTACATGCTGAGAATTGTGTGTAATGCAAGAAAGGCCTTGTATGCTACATTATGAAGTGTGCATTTACAGCACATTGAGAGTGCTCTGCTCTATGTGATGCCACAGAATCTTTGCAAGATGCATTCACAGCATGACATAGCCTTTATTTAAATCTTTGCAACTTCTATGACACAACCTCTGTTCACATCTCTGCAGCTTTTGTGGCAATAGCTGTGCATGCGAGACACTAGCATCTACACTTGCAGTTACCATCTGTGATAAGAATGTAAAATACAAATCACCCTGTTTATAACATCATGAAACATGTTCTTCACCCCTCATGTGTGCTATGCTCACAAAGTGATTTGCTTTTACTTGAGCCTGTTCCACCACTTGCATCTCAGTTTTATCTCACCTCAATCACCCAAAACAAAACTAAGAGACACAATATATAGGGTATGTTGCCATGAATAGCTCACCATCTGACCTTGGCAGTTATGCATGGCCTGCAACTGTTGGCAATGGCCACACTAAAGTTCAGGAGGCATCACCTCAGAGGACAGGATGGATGGTGCCCAGCCTTGGCATATTATAATATTCTCACCCAATACTGCCATTGATCTAAAATGGCTAGTTGAGATGGCAGTGGTCAGGACTCACATGAGCACTGCTTAGTATGAGCTCAGGCCAGGGGTATCCATCAAATCAGAAAGCTCAGCTTTGATCTTTTAAAAAAGAGAATGACCTGGTGACACAGATTCTTTGGCATCCAGGTTGCAGGTTGATGTGAGCACAACATGTCAATTGATGTTCTGGGTTCCTTGACACATAGTATTCCCTTTGCAGTGATGACATATGTTGGGCAACTGAAAACTTTTTCTTGCAACTTAGGAACAGCATCATTTTGCCACTTAGCTAAATGATACCATGTTGGTTATTGAGGCTATTTGGCACTTTCAGCTGCTGAGGCTATATTGCATCACCTGCTTTTCCCCCTGGAAGATTGGCACTGCAGCAAACCTGAACCCTGTACCTCCAGTTTTCCTAGATTAACCACACACTCACAGCTTAACCCCCCCATTACTGAAACCCTTTCTAATGGCAAAACCATTTATGATGTGATAACTTGAGCTTTAGAGGGTGCAACCACCCTGGTCATATGTTACCCATAACATCATGCTATATTTTTCACTGTGATACATTTGTAAGCACTAAAAAGTCTAGGGCCCAAATCACAAAGAAACTCCTAACTTAAGGAACTGCTCAGAGACTGAAATGGGATGGTTGAAGTTATCTTTGTAATATCATTCGAAATTCAAGAAAAAATCTTGATTGCGGGGTCTGTGCAGCCATCTGGAAGGAACAACCTCACCATGGTATTGTGAATGTAAAACCATCCATCATACATGATATTGTGAACATGAAAACTTCACAACATCTTTTGTGGAAAAAACTGAATGGGGCCAAAATCCTGTTAAAAATATTAGGACATATGTCCTCACAGCCAATACACTAATGAATGATGGCACCGATGATGACATTCATTGGGGTTCACTCTATGCGTACATGCAGCCAGGTGGGTTCGTGCACCTGCAGGCACCACCAGGCAGGTTCCTGCAGTGCAGATGGTACTCTACACCTAACATGTGCCTTCAGTAAGTCAAGCTGAATCAAATTATGCCACAAACTAACATGAAAGAACATGCATCACACATCAGTGATCCACATGAGATTACAATACCGCAAAATTATCCAAACAATCACCTGAACCAATTGCAATTGCAGCCACATTGATAAAGCTACTTGCTTTGTCTCATGGCAAATCGAACATGAATGGATCCTTGCAGAGCTCTGTTTACCAGCTTGGTTATGAATACTGCAACCACCTACAAAACGTTCCTTGAAAGTTTCTTTGTCAAAGACGGGCTAATGGCGCAGGCGTTTCCAACAGGGGAACTCCCAAGCAAAGCACAAAGATAAATGCCAGTGAGATACTCCTTACCTCCATTACTTCAGCCATAGTTGTTTCACTTCTGTGAAAAACACTTCACAACCCTATATCGCAATACGACTAGATACCCGACGCCGGTAATGGAACCCAGGTACACAGCGCGCCACCCGCGTGTTCTCCGGCGTTCCCAAGGATGAAAGTATTCAAGCTTCGTGCTCTTCACGCGAGGTTTTGTTACGCACGTCGGATATGCGCCAAAAGTGGTTGACGTCATGTAAAAAATATGACGCACCATACATATCTGATGTTTCACAAATTGGTATCCAAGACGGCTTGTTAGTCTCACCACAAAACAGTGACGCAGGCAAGGGGGAGTTGGAGTGAAGCGAGTCTCCTTGAAGAGAGCTAGGACCTCTGGTGACGAGCCCTTTTTAGTTTAGAGCTTAGACGAAGCCAGTTCTTTTTAAGCGTTTAGGATACCCGTAAGGCCTCTGCACAGTTCCCGGAGGAAACGCCGAATGGAAAGGCCACAAGAAAAAAGTACATGTATTAGTCGAAAGGGACATGGTAGACGGGAAGAAATGTCGAAACAGAAAAAGTCGTGAGGGATTAGAGTCAACAGGGGAAAGTCAGATAGGAAAACAATTTACAAAAAAACAATTTAACGGACACAAATTTTGACAAGATACACGTTGATTTAGGAAACAGCAAACAAGCAGGAGCCCTACCTCGCATCCCTGGGTTCTCTATTGGATCCGTCCGCGCTCAACCAGAGACGTTCCTGCAGGAAATCAGCTTTCGAGCCTTGGCGACCGAGCCGGAAACGTGCCCTAAGGTGGCTTAAGATGGCTATCAGGCTGTTGATTGCTATGGGTGCCATGCTAGTCTTGCTCTCTGTAGCCACAATAATTCCATCTCTATGCATTTTTTTTTTTGGACCGTCGTAGTCGGCGCACAGCGGCCGGCGCCCATGGCAGGAGGCGGCGCACAGCGGCGACATCCGTCGTATAATGCGGTGTTTCATTAGTCCTGGTACTGAACAAACACGCGCTTAGCCCCTGGAGTTGGTTCCTGGTTTCCACTTCCCCATTTTGAAAGCAGCATTTTAGAACCCTGATATCGGCGTGTTGTTTCATAAACTCCATCCCCTGGTTCCCCGATCCTGACTCCAGTGATTGTTTTTTTTAGACACAGCACCCTGGTTTCCTGCTTTCCACGAATTCTTACAAAAACGGGCCCTCGTTCCCGGCTCGCACTGGTGTTCTGGTTTCCGCTGGCTGAGTATTTTCCCATACTCTATTCATGAAGTGCTCCCCTTACTCCCTTTTCTACTGAGCAGCTGACAAGTAACAGCTTACAGGTTGTTATAATGACTGACAACTTTAGCCCATGTGATGAACTTAGTGTCTGTGTAGGAAGATGTAAGGGTGGCCGAATGGCTAGCAGAGTATATATATATATATATATATATATATATATATATATATATATATATATATATATGTATATGTATATATTTATTATACGTATAATATATCATGAATATGTATATATTCACATCCTGGGGTCACCGCTTAAGTCCATGCGCAAGCCAAATGGCATGATGCGAATACTGCAAAGTGGTGGCAACTGAAGCGGCAAAGCCAGTGAAACTTTATTATTCTTGATGCCACGTGGTTCCATGGGAGGGATACATTGGTTTGACCCCCCGGAAGATTGTACAAATATTGATGCCTCGTAACGCTCGGAAAACAAGGCGTTTTGCCGTGTGTTTTGGCCCTAACGAAGGAGTACGAAATATGTCAACATGGAACTTTGCTAGGTAAAAATGTGGTGTGCGAGTAAAAATGAGAACGATCAATTCAACAACCGAGGGAAATTAAATGCATGGCGTCACTGGCTCGTAAAGCTGTCTTAAAAATTTGAGCATACAATTGCGTCCAACAGGTTTGGCTGATACTATTTATGTGGCTAAGGCTCCAAGAAAAATCATCGTGTTGCAGATTTCGGACTTTAGAACGTTTATGTTTTTAGCTAGGCCCATAATCAACCAAAAATGGCAAGAGAGACGGACAGTTTTATTGTGGCGAAGACACACAATTTTGTTCATGCCCCGCAAACTATAAAGGTCGTCCGTGGCCGACTGAAAAGCTTATTTTCTTCAGATTGAGGAACCGATCTCACGAAAGGGTAGATGTCTCTAGTGAGAAGACGAGCTCCGCAATCTCCAGAAATGCGGATTTGAGTCGGTCCATGATGGACGCTTGAGCGTTCTATGGCAGAAATGTATTTACACAATACTGCATCAAATGTGCCGATATACAAGTATATGCACAGCCACATGCTGGCAGTGGTGCCGAATTACCAACTTTTCACACGCGCTGGTAGGCGAAGCACTAGAGTGACGAAGTGCTGGCGATCGTTAGCGGATTGCACCTCTCTTTTGCATATCGTTCAGTAAAATCTGCTCAAAATTTTCCGTTACGTGCTAAGGTAATTTGCGGTACATTAATCTATGCATTCACGAGAGCGTGCACAGTACGGCAGGTTCTCGACAAAACAAAGTTTCAGCGATAAAGCATATGCATTTCAGTTGATGCAAAAGAAAAAAATAAGCACTCCTCCACGCATCAACTCCGAAAATGGTCTTCGGCCTCCCCATGAATATGACCTGTTGGGAATGCCTTTTTCCACTCATTTCATCAGAGACGCATTGCAAGCCTGCTGTGCTTCTGAAGGACACTGCTCTGAGCCTTTTTGCCTCTGGAGCGAGGAGGACCCAAACTCGCTTCAGTTCAAAGGAGTAGGAAATGAACCCCTGTAATGTCAATGTCATGCGCAACTTAGGTTGACTATAGAAGCGTCGCTAGTTGAGCTGGCTCTCCATTAGCCAAATGCGATTATACTTATGTACGCATGCTCGATGCGCAATGGCCTCGTATACGTAGATGCGAAGCCATAATCTTGGTACGGGGAGGAACACGGAGATGACAAAGGGCCGCTCCTGGTGAAAGACCCCCTACAGAAAATACCACCATATATGGCTCACTTGATTTCGAGGGGCACGATTTGCTTCGTTCTATTTTGATATGTACTCTTTTCATTGAAACAAGCCAGCATGCGCCGAAATATACACCTCTGTTCCTATTTTGAAATCGTTAAACTAAAGACACCAGGCTTCAAATGATTGCATAGAATGAAACGACGGCGCTATTCACTATTTATTTATTATTCACGCAGCCGCGCGGTGTCGGCTCCGTAGCTAACATTCGGTGGTGGTCAGCGGGTAGACGAAAAAGGCATCGTTTCTGAAAAAGCTTCTTTGAACGTTTTATAATGTCACTTTGTACGTTAAGAAACTAATCCGCGAGTATGTTTCCCCTGTGCAATTTGTGGACTTACAAAAGGAACACATTAGCATTCACAGCACCTCAGGCAGATGCTGGAATTTGGCGGTGGAACTACAAAATACGTAAAGACAAGATATCTGTATTTGTGTGGCTGTCGCCTTTTGTCTGTTCAGAGAACGGCCTCAAGTTTATATAGGTGAGATATGCCCAAATAAAAAAAGAGATCGCCCAAATCTTCTTCTTTTTTGAAAGGTACGAATGGATTTCGACACACTTTTGGACTCATTATTTCACGACGGCTATTCTCGTGCACCAAAGCCCGCCGCCCGGTGCTAGCTGCAGTGCCCGACGCCGCTTGGTTTGATGTAAACTGCAACCTCGGCTATCGATGTTCTCGCTGCTAAGACTGCAAGCACGCAGGCTCAAGGCTCTCGTATGTAATGTTGATGTACACTCCTACGTTTGTTAACTTTTATGTTATCAAAACTCTTGTGAATGTAATAACTCTTAAATGATGTTTCACATGTTGATTCGGATAAGGATGGACGTCCTCGTTTGTGTTGCCTTTTTCATTTTTGGCCTGGTTTTGATTCACCTTATGCGGTTATCAGAAAACACCTTACCTTTTTCGGGTAAAAGCCCAGTAGGTATTACACTAGGAGATCATTATTTTTCCCGGTCAGCGGCCAAAGTAAAAGGTCATTCCTTTACAGCGCGGGATGCCCACCGGGCGTCATACTGGCAACATGGAGGCGAGGTCCCCAGGTCGATGCGGAAGCCTTGAGAGAGATTAGTCATATATTGGTCACCTGCCTGACACCGGAGCCCCCTAACCCGGGTATTTGGCCCCGGATGGACGTAGAGGCCCCCATCGATGAAGTAAGATCCCTTATCATCGCAGGTGTCCAACTATTGGCACAGAGACCTCAGTTTGGCATGATGAGCCCCACCCTGAAATGGGATGGAGAGCCCCCCGTTCCTTACGGGGGCCCAGCTGTCAATGGGCCTTCCATTGTCTCATTGTGGTCTTTCGTCGTAAACTCTCACTTCCAATTTCGTTGTCAGGGGGCTTTGACCAACACAAGAGACTGTGTAGAATTTATATTATATTCATATTTGACATCAGCATACACTTCACATGCATACGTGCCTATTACGTGCCATTAGTCCGAGAGATAAAACAGCATGTAAAAAACAACAACGGAAAGCGTAAAAGGACAAAAAGCATATAAACGCCTAAACGCATTCGGGATTCCGTCCCTCTCCCCGCTCAGCAAATGCTCTCCTGGCCGACTCGAGCCCTTTGCCGACACAGGACCGTCTGCCCGGCACTGTGGGTGCCTGACCACCACAGAAGCCCGTGCTATTTCACGGGTCTGAGCGGGCAAAACATAGGCGTTGGTAAGCTAAACGACAGGATTCCCCAAACCTGATCCACTTTTCACTCGTCATGTAGATGGATTCCTCCCAAAACCGCATAGGAAACCACATCCCTGCTCCTACGCGTGTCCTCTCTGTGTCTCGGCGGCAGATGTTGTTGTTGGGCATCATTACCATTTTGCTTGGCGTCAGTCGTGGGAACCGGGCTCAGGCAATCCACCTAGGGTCTGAACTACGTGTCTTCAGACGTCTTTAAACGCAGGCAATCCACCTAGGGCTTAAATTATGTGGCTTCAACGTCCTAAAACGTGGATTACTTCGAGAACAAAGAGTGCAAGCTGCTGTGCGCAACTATTGAAGAAAGCCGCGCACCTTGCAGCTACCAGCCACAGGGCTGAATGATGATGTCATGATGTTGATGTCGCGATGATAGTGATGGTGATATCGTGCTAGG